TATTGAGGTTATATTTAATTGTCTGAAATATTGCAATTTATTTACGATATATGGGTTAATAATATATTAATATGCAAATCCAAGCATGCTATGTATATTCATAAATTAGTGTTATAGTTATACATTCATAAAGTATGCATTAAGGTTGGATTTAGCATATTATTAACTCATAAATTCACTATTAAACATCATTCAATTTTGGATCCTTAGGTCATTTTAGGTATTATGACCTACTAAAGTAGCTTGTTTGGTTTCCTCTTAATTTTGAGCACATTTTAATTTCATGTGTCTATGGACTTTAGAACCTACTTTGAACAAGCTATTTGGGACCTATATAGGGTCATTAAAGTATGGATCCCACCATTTTGTTTGATATTCTAATAATAATTATAAGTCCTTATAACATGTTTCTTAAGTTTTAATTATTACTAACTACCATATTTTGGTATTCATCGTTGGTAATAATATTAAGTTTTGGGTCTATTTCAGTACTTAGACCATTTTTTATTCATGTTATAATTCACTTGGGTCATTGAGGTTTATGTGCCTAATTTGAGTGATTAAGTGCTATAATTATCGTTTTGGCCTGTTTAGAGACATTAAGGATTTAATTGTTATTTTGGCCATTAAGAACTATAACTATTTTTTAAGTTCGATTAAATTTTTAATCTATCAATAGTTTTTCAGGGCCTTAATAATAATATTAAGTCTTTAATTTTATGGCAAAAGCAATATAGTTGGTATATTGTCTATATAATGGTAATTTGGTTATTACCTTAACTTTAGTCTCCCTAAGTATCATAATAGTCATGGTTAATTATTATGTGGTAAAATTGAGATTAGTATTTGGCATCCCTTAATTAAAATTTTTCCTTTATTGTAATTATTATTAATTAGCATTATTAATTACTGTTATTAAGTTTAGGGGCTAATCTCATTTTATTACTTTTCATAATAATTATAATCTAATGGTAATCTGCTATATTTGGTACATTGGCATGATTACCACTTCATTTTACATGACTATTAATGTTGGTAATTAAGTCCTACCAATAAATTTTTTAACGTACCATTGGACGCTGCATCGAGTTTATTGACACCGATAGTGAAGATTGGGAGAATTCTGGAGTCTTTTCTTCTCTTGTGGATCGTCATCGTTGTTAGCGCAATGGGCAGATGCGGTTTGCATCATTAATGTTAGCCATTAATTATCTTCTATGGTTATTATTGATAATTAGTGCTACAGTTACAGTTAACCGCTAATTTGGACTAGCTGCATATTTTATCTTTAGGGGGCGTTTGGTTCAGGTCATCTTAGATTATCTAGGTAATCTGAGTCTGGTAATGTTATATTACCTTGTTTGGTTCAAGTTATAAGATTACCTGGTAATGTTATATTACCTGAAAGCTGATGTGGCGGTAATGTTTCAAGGTAATGTGATTACCTCCAATTTTTTAGGTAATCTTAGATTACCTTGCATTATTCCAACTTTGCCCTTGTTAACTAATCCTTATATAATAATAATAATAATAATAATAATAATAATAATAATAATAATAATAATAATAATAATAATTAATATATGTTTATATAATCAAATATATATGTGTATATTTATATATTTAATTTTTTTAATATTTAAGCATCGATTACATTCATACATATAAATAAATAACACACATTATACATATATACATACATATATATATATATATATATATATATATATATATTATTGAGGACATTATTGTAAATTGATCCATATAACCTAAAATATAACCTTGAACCAAACAAGGTAATATTATATTACACTATCCAAACCAAACACACAAGGTAATCTTACATTCCCAACATCTCACATTACTTTCCTGGAGGTAATCCTATTACCTGGGTAATCTAAGATTCCGTGAACCAAACGCCCCCTTAGGAAAATGGAAACATTAAAAGGTGCATTACCATACTTTGATTTGTCATTATTATTAATGTTAATAGTGATTATAATGTTACTTATTACTATTAATAATTAATTAATGATGACACTAATATTGTTATGGTATTCAGATATGTATCTTGAATTGTTTTCAAATAAATTTATGTGACAATATTCCAGTTAAGAAAATAGTTTTCTTGAATTAATGTTTTTCGGACTTCAAATTTTATTAAATTTTTTAAAATTTTATCTGAAAACATTTATAAGTGTTAGAGGTTTTAACCATTGTTTTTCCATATTTAGTCTCCTACTTAATGTGATAATATTATTATGGCTATTTATTGCTATTTTGATTATTTGCAATTTTGCCATTAATAATAATAATATTATCAACTGGATTATGGAGAGTGATTTTGAATCAATTTAGTAATTTTGGAAAAAAAAAAACATATTTTCTAGGCAAATGACTTTTGCCATTAATTCCATAATTCATTTAGTTCTTTGAATTATGATTGCCCATATTTGGTTAAGTATATGAATAAATGAATATTTAGTTTAAATTCATATTCTTTAGTTGGTTCATACTCTTTAGATTGTTTTATGCATTCGATCACATTAAGTGCATAATATTAAGTTTAATTATGCAATTAGGGTTTATGACATTTTCATTTACAAATGATAGCATATCCTTTTGGTTTGATATTGTTTGAATTTGTAAATTCAGTTATTTCTCATGAATTTGATCTTCATGCATTAAAACATTTTACCATGGGCTTATAGTTTAAAAATTTTAAACTATATATTCAGTACATTATTATTCAAAATGTTGGGTCTCTTTTGGTTTGGACTCATCGGTGTTTGAATATTAAGTTTATACTTTAAAATCTCATATTGTAAATTTGCTTTAAGTTATGCATTTTATTTAGAATATATGAGTTTAATGTTTAATTTTATGCATATTCGTCCTAAGCATAATATTATGTTTTAAATTATGCAATTTTATTATGCCTTTAGCAATGCATACTTTGAGATGGAATTATATTAGTTCCTATTTAAGTTGGACTTATGCATAAACTTTAGTTGCGGTAGTGCCTGAATTTAAGCACGTTTAGTCCGCTACTTTTAGTTCACCATTTAAGCTTTAATCATAGGTGAACCCCACAGTTTTCTGGTGTATACCATACAGTTTACTGGTTTATACCCCAAACAGTTATACATTAAGTATATATGAATCGGTGAGGCATACTAGTTTTAATGGCCATGAATTAAGAACATCTTGTGCCATTAGTCTCCTTAAATTGATACTTTATTTAAGGAATTGGTTTTCAGTGAGACTTAGTCTCTAACCGCCTTTCCTTGGAGTATATTTAGATTTTCCCATCACAATCTGGTATAATCTATTTGTCAAAATTTTAAGTATTTCTTGCCAATGTGATTTTATTTCGGTTTATTAAAGAATAGCCAAAGCATCTTTAATTTACTGAAATATCTTGAGTTTTCAATCTTGGTTAATTAAGGAAATGCTACAGCATGTTCAGCTACCTAAGATTATTAAGTTTTAATCACATAAAGTTTATGCAAGGATTTGATAATTGTCTAGTGATCTTATAATTTTAATTTGGTTTGGGAGTAGCCACAACATCCTTAATCTGTTAAAATTATATATTAAGTGGTTTATTTTGATCACATAAAGTTTTGGACATATCATTTGTGATTAATTGTATGTAATATGATGAAATTTAGCCCACAGGCAATTTCGTTATATTTTTATAATTAATCAGGATGAAATACTGGACTACGGTCATAATTTAGCCCACAGGCAATTATGTATCGGAATGTAGTTTAGTAGTTTTATCAGTGACGATAGAAATAAATCAATTTATTTACTTTATGGTTATTTATAAATAATTTCCAATTCTATCATGAAGTTTAATTTTATGATGTAAATTTAGGTCATATTTCTTAATTTGCCCACAGGGATTAAGAAATGGAACATGATCTCTTAAGTTTTTTATCATAATGATAGCAATGAATCTTATTGACTAAAACTTTAGCCTACAGGCAGGTTTTATGTCATTTGATTCTTCAACTCATTTGATAATGGTTTCATCATAAATAACGTTTTTCAGTTGGATCTAATTGAGTAAAACTTTAGCCCACAAGCAAGTTTTATGTCACTAGATTCTTCTGGCTCTTTAGTAATTGAGATAGAATATTATCATAAGGGTTTAATTGGATTTAATAGAATTAAAACTTTAGCCCACAGGCAAGTTTTATGTCAATAAATCCCTTAACCCATTAGATAATAATTTTATCACAATTCTTAGAATTTATAAATTTAGTTCAATTATAATTCTAAGTTTCATGATTTGCATTGGCAAAACATGTTTTTCAGTCACTTCCCAAAATTTAGTCACTTCTATTAATTGATCCACGAATCTTGCTCGGTTCTTCGGACTAACTGTAGTAAGTTACGTGATTTGACATACATCTTTTGGATTCCAATAATACTAAAATGTATCTTTTGAGCCAAATTCTAACTTGGTTTTGGAAGATGTATTTTGTTTTTTTTAGTATGTCCAACTATGGTGGGGAATTATATCTTCATTATTTAGTTGGACTTTAATTGGAACCAAAAATTGATTATTTAGTATGTCCAACTAATGGTGGGGAATTTAGTGACGGAATTTTCTGTCGCTAAACTTAAAAATATCCGTCGCAAATTTCCTTTCCGCGACGTTCGAATGACCAAATTTGTTAGGGAATAACGACGGAAAATTCCGTCGCTAAATTTAGCAATAAAAAATTTCGTCGTTCTTTATTGTATTTAGCTACAAATTTACTACAATTTTTGCCCGTCGCTAAATTTTAATTTTTTTTTTTTAAAATCTATCGATTAATCAAAATATTACATACCTGTATTAAATTTATAATATAATACTTCAATACTATAATTACAAAATATATTATATTAAAAAATTCAATGTCAATAACAAAAACAAAAGTATAACATCGTGAAGTGTTACATCATTAGAAATGGTGCCAAATATAGCAATACACATAATCTTTAAAAAAAGAAGATATAACTCAACATTTTTAAACACAGAATTATGAAAGGCAAAGATGGTCATTTTACTTTTCTTTTGCCCCCCTTTCCCTTCTTGACTCTTGTTTGTTCTCCAGGCATCAAAGCAAGTGTATAGCGTCTACCTAATATTCCTTCCATCCAGACAGACGCAGAACCTCACGGCTTTGATCCCGAGTGCATCATTGACTCCCACTTTCACTTCTTTTTCAGCGAAGGATCAAGGACCATAACTGGACGAAACACCTGACTCTGTGATGATTGCCAATTGAAAAAGGCAGATAAAAACGCCCTGATAAGATGGAAATTATGCCACAACTTAGCAACAATTAGTGAATGTGATGATTGCCAATTGAAAAAGGCAGATAAAAATGCCCTGATAAGATGGAAATTATGCCACAACTTAGCAACAATTAGTGAATGGCATCACAACACAAAAGCTTGGAAACATGGGGACTCAACTAGATGATAGAGTAGGAAAAAACCTTCTCTGGGTTGTTCACCTTGCCTCACAAGGTGACATAATTTGATAATATGATTGATCACTTTGATGGTACTTCCTAAGCAAGCCCATTAACTTTCTTGACATTTCATTGTCTTGTTCGCGAATGCAAACCTGGTCATCAGGGATTTAGAAGAATAGACAAACCAGAGAATATTTAACAAAGTACAAAACATAACCAACATTTTCTTTATGGAAGTATACTCGCTAGGAAATCCTACTCCTTAGCAAAGATTCAAAATCCAGAAGTTTCTAGGAAAATTCTAGTTGATGCTTCTACACATGGTAACTCTTATGTCAACACATGTTGTTGTCTTGTTGAACATAGAGCTTTAAATACACCATTGCAGATGCAAAGAAATATTAATTCTATTTGAGAGACCCAATTACAATCAATCTTTCTCATTTAGCAAATGTCAAAGATTCAGTACACATCCTATCAAACTTTACAGCTGAACATAAAACAAAATAAAGCATTTTCTATTCAGTACAGTGGATAAACTAGTTTTATAACCAATGGGTTATTCTTTTGTTTTATAATTGTTAATGTGCAATTAAATCCCACCAGAATTGTTAGCTGGGAGAATGTGACCAAATACTGTCCACTAATCTAACTCCCATCTTTATATAGAGTCAAAATTATATTTGACCAGAATGGACAAGTCAAAATTCATGAGACCTCCTATACCATCTATTTTCTACAATGCACTAGGCTCATACAAGAAACATGAAAACATAGTGGAGAATTCTACCTTTGAGAAGTCTGCAGCGAAGTCATCGCCCATTAAAGTCTTGATGATATCAGGTGAAAGCATTCGGCCAACAAGATAGATAGAGATCTCACCGTAGCTGATGTACCACGTGGTGGCTAATATGCGCCGGCTCGATTTGTTCTCCATCTTCAGCTCCTCCGCCTCCGACAGGCACTCCACCATGCCCCTGCACCTCCCGCCGGCATCATCCAGCTCACCAATTCGCTGTCCCCGCTCGCCGCCGCCGCCGCGGAAGCCAAGTAGGGGCTTAGCATCACAATAACACAGAAAATCAAACTCAGAAACAAAAGAAGAGAGAACGCCATTTCTGTGCTGCGATTTCCTGCAACAAAATCGGAAATCCTCTTCTTCTGTGTTCAGATTTCTTCTTCTTCTTCGTTTTTCCGCTCCGCCTCTCGTTGTTGTATTATAAGCAGTGAGATTTATTTATTTAACGAATAATCCCCAATCAACTGAGACGTAGGGTTACAAATTTAGGATTATAATAATTTATTTAAAATTAAAAATAGCGATGGATTCGAAATCCATCGCTAGATTTTATAAAATAGCTGTGTAAAACATAGCGACGGATTATTATATCCGTCGCTACATTATAATTTATTATAAGCATAACATTTTTTTGCATTATAAAGTTTAACGACGGATTATTAATCCGTCGCTAAATTATAAACACAAAATGTGGCCTTGCAAAGTTTAGTGACGGATTGTATATCCGTCGTTATGTAGCGACGGATTATTTATTCCGTCGCTAAATTGTAACAATTACAATTTTTACAATTTTTTGTGTTAGCTTGTGAATAATCTGTCGCTAATCTGTCGTTATATTTTGCGCCAAAATTTACCGCTAAGATTAGTTACGTATTTAATGACGGAAATATTTCGTCACAAAATCTATCGCAAATCCGTCGTTAATCCGTCGCTAAATGTTCATTTCTTTCAAAAAATTAAATCCGTCACTAAAATGTTGCTATTCCGTCGCTACATTAGCAACGGAATTTTTCCGTCGCTAAATCCGTCACTATATAGGCTTTTTTTGTAGTGGTGTTTTCTCCTTCAGTTGTGCACATTTTTTTGAGAAACATCCCTTAAGGTACCGAGAATAAACATAGGGTTTGTTCATAAAGGACCTAAGTTGGAGAATTAAAATGCATGTGACCATAATGGATACTACTCTGATTAAATAGAGGACGTATCAATATGATTCGTGTGTTTTGTTCTTTGATGATGGTTGTGCTAGTACTTGCACCAAGTGGGAGAATGTAAGATTTTCCCTAATAATATATATTATATATTAGGGCCTTAATTAAGTCGTGCAAGTTGACTAGGCTTATTAAGTGGTCTGGTTGGACTTAATAACTAGTAGTTGTTAGTCAACCAAACTCTGTGCCTAATATAAACCTGGATTGATGGGATACAGGTTTACGGATTAGACAGCACATTCAGTTACGGTACTCAGACTGCTCAGTAGACACCAATAGACCATCTAGGGTTCTGAGTCAGGTCTGAGGCAAAACATGGCTAACGGTCTACCGTTAAGAGGCAACACAACAGGAACATCACGGTCTACCGTTAAGAGGCAACACAACAGGAACATCAACTATGGCTGGAGATCTACATGGCTACGCTTCCGCTCTCATACGAGGTCAGATCACTAGTATACTATTGTTCAGTATTAGTTAGATTATTATGTATCTAATATAATATGCTTCCTTCCTTGCGTGAGCTTTATTTAACTGATTGTGATATTTCAAAATTATCACTGCCATAACAAATCTTCACTTCAAGTTCTTGATCTTGCAATTAATAAATTCAGCACTGTCATTTTTAGATGGATATTCAACCTTGATACCCTTATTTCACTTCAACTATATGATTGTGGTTTTTTAAGTCCGTTTCCTGATGATCCTTGGAATTTGACATCCCTTAGAACTCTTGGCATCTCTGCAAATCAATTCCATGGCCATCTTCCCAATAGTCTTTGGAACTTGACTTCTTTGTCAGACCTTGATCTCTCTGAAAATATGATCACGGGGGAGATACCAAAGCCAATTGGAAAACTCAACAAGCTGCAAAGAGTTAATCTTTATAACAACAAGTTATATGGACCACTTTCAGAGAATTTAGGATATTCATTTCCAATGTTAGAAACTCTTCACATTACGGATAACATGTTAGAAGGCATAGTGACGGAAAATCACTTTGTTAATCTCACCATGTTGGGGTATTTACAAGCATCTGAAAATAGATTAACGTTGAATGTTAGTCTAAATTGGATACCTCCGTTCCAACTTTTTGAGCTTTATCTAAGTGGTTAGAAGTTGGGTCCACAATTTCCTATTTGGTTACAATATCAATATACTATTGTCGAGTTGGACATATCTAACGCTGGAATGCAGAGTGAGGTTCCAAGTTGGTTTTGGAGATCTTTTGAATTTTGTTTCCTTAATCTTTCACACAACCATTTGCGAGGTGAAATTCTAAGTATCTCAGTATATGAACTTGTGTACTTGGGCTCTAACCAATTTAATGGCTCCTTACCGCGTATCTCTAGCTATACAACGGAGTTAGATTTGTCAAATAATTCCTTTTCAGAAGATGTCTCTAACTTCTTATGTCATGCTCAAAATGTGCCATATAAGCTTAAAATGCTTCATTTGGGAGGATTCGGTTATTTGGAGAAATTCCCAATTGTTGGATGCACTGGCCACAGTTAAAAGTCATAAATATAGGCAATAACCAACTGATTGGAAGAATCCCAAATTCCATTAGGCTTTTGGATCAGTTGAAATCTTTGGATATGCACAACAACATACTTTTTGGCACTATACCTCCATCATTGCAAAATTGCACCCTATTGTTGAAAATTGATTTTGCTGAAAATGGACTCACAGGAATGATTCCAAGATGGTTGGGGACTAAACTTTTAAATTTGAAAATTTTTAGACTCCGATCAAATAAATTTTATGGTGAATTGCCTCTAGAATTTTGCCATCTTAAATCACTTCGCATTTTAGATCTTTCCAATAACAACCTCTGGTGTGATTCCTTGGTGTCTTAAAAATCTCATTGCAATGATCAGTGAAGAGGCAATTCAAGATGGAGAATTTGAAATAGGTTATTCACCTTATGCATGGGGATTTGGTGAAAGTGCTATAGTGACGACCAAAGGGCAAGAGTATGAGTATTACACAATCATTCTAACGTTATTTGTTGGCATGGATCTTTCAAGTAACAATTTTTCTGGGGACATTCCAATTGAATTGGCCAGAAACAACTTAACAAGAAATATCCCCATGGAAATGGGAAACATGAGATTCTTAGAATCTCTTGATCTTTCGAGAAATCAACTTTCAGGAAAAATTTCCTCTAGTTTCTCAAGTCTGTGCACTCTAGAAGTTTTGGACTTGTCATATAACAACCTATCTGGGAAGATACCTTCAGGTACTCAACTTCAAGATTTTAATGCTTCATGCTACATCGGTAACAACCTCTGTGGCCCTCCACTCTTACAAAGTTGTAGTGTTGATGAGGGCAAAATTCCAAAAAATGAAAATAAAGGAGATGATAGTTCTGAAGTAGTGGATTGGTTTTATGTTAGCATGGCTATAGGATTTGCAGTGAGCTTTTGGGCGTTCTGTGGTTCTTTGCTTCTTGTGAGACCTTGGAGGATTGTTTATTTTCAATTTTTAGATGACAAGTTGAAGTCTGTTGGGCACATGCTCTGATGGTATAATGTTTTTGGTGTTTTCTACTGCTAGGAATCTATGCATATTGAGATTTATGATTTAATGTATCTTCTAGCTAGTAATTTATCATGTAACACTCATTATCATAAATATGTAACCTAGTGTGATTATCATAATTTAAAAGTGTGAATGAAGGTTATACCCTTCATTTATGTCCTTTTTTTTTTTTTAATACATTATGTTATTATTATTATTATTATTATTAGTATTATTATTATTATTATTATTATTATTATTATATTATTATTATTATATTATTATTATTATTATTATTATTATTATTATTATTATTATTATTATTATTATTATGCTATAAAAGTTGTACTTTACAATATTTTGGACGAACATACCCATACCGTTATAACTTTCGTTATCTTTTCCACTATTGTTACCATGCACATGCATCCATCATATATTTTCTTATCTTCTTCTTCAATAATAATATATATACATTATATATTGGAGTTATATGTTAATATTTACCTAAAATATAAATATTAAATTTATAAAAAAAGATTTACATTATTATTATTATTATTATTATTATTATTATTTACAATAATTTAAATATCTAAAATCTAAATAAATTTAAATTTTTATTATAAAGTACTAATATTGGGCACTTATTTTTTGCGCATCGCGCATAAACAAAATACTAGTTATGTAATATAGTGTAATTATCATAATTATGTAACATAGTGTAACTGTAAACCTATCATTTGCCTATGTTGTGCAAATCTTTTGTAATACTACAATGAGTTTACATATTTTAAATTTCAGCCAATTACACATTGATTTTAATTACTACTACAATAAGGCTTTTACCAAGCATTAGGCAAGGCTTGGTAATTATCAGCATGAAACCAGACACAAAAATAAGGGATTAGTGATAGGTTGATCCGTTAAGGACCTGATATATTTCGTGTCTTAACAAGTTAACCCATTAAACATATTAAGAATCCATTTAACCAGATAATAGTATCGTGTTAACCCGTTTGTATAAACTTGTTTATAACCTTCTAAGAACCATTGTTATTTAGGTAATGTGTCATTTTTTCTTATAAAATATATAAATAGAATCATTGTTTTATTTGTCGTTATTCCATTATTAGTTACTCCGTATTTTTATTGACTTAGCTTATAATGTTATATTTTGAAATTTTGTTGATTAAAGACAAATCAAACTGAATGAGATTATTATCTCTCTCTAGCATGCATGTCTAGCGTTTGCTTCCCCTCCTAGGTTTTCCTGGGGTTTTCCCTTCTTTCCCTTGCTTTTATCGGTGTTCTTTGCTGAGATTTGTTGTTTTCCAGTGTTGCTTTTGCTTCTCTGTTGACATCGATATCTGCATGGCTACGTCAGCGTCGGAAGGTGGGGTGGCTGGGCTGACATGGTTTTGGAGGATGAAGCTATCGAGTTTGAGTTGGTGGGAGAGAGCGTCGCGGTGGTTGAGGGCAGCGTGGAGGAGTCTTGGGTGGTGGTCGGCCATTTCTTGACCGACAAGTTGGTGAAGGTGGAGTATATGCGGCAGGTTATCGTACCCGTTTGGTGTCCGGTTAAGGGGGTTCAGATAACTGAGGTACAACGAACTTGTTCCTGTTTGTCTTCTACCATAAGACGAACATGCAGCGCGTCCTAGATGAGGGTCCATGGTTGTTTGATAATAGCACTTTAGTCTGTAGGCAGGTGGTTATTGTGTCCTACCCGGGGATGTTGTTCTTGACTCGATTGATATGTGGGTGCAGCTTCACGACGTCCCAATATGTTATACATCGGATGTGATTCTAGAGCAGATCGGGAACTTCATCGGTTCCTTTGTTAAGTGCGATGACAGATTCACTGGGGCCCATGGAAAACATTATATCGCATTCGTGTCTCTATCCCTATCACACAACCGATCAAGCGGCACATGAAGCCCGTGAAACTTGATAAGACAAGCTGCTAAAGTACGAGAGGCTACGCAATTTTTGTTTCTTTTGTGGCTTATTAGGACACTCATATAAGTTCTTGAAATTACACCGTGAATCTTGAATACTAGATGAACCTTAGAATTCTACTTGATTTTATGTTATGCGACAATCCCGTTCATTAATTAGATTATTTAATCAAATATAAATAACAGAAATTGAAAGCATAAAATAAAATAAGAACACAAGAGAATTGTTACGCAGTTCGGAGCGCTTATCCTACGTCTGCGGGGAATCCACGTCTGCCAAATCCACTATAGATGTTCACCAAGAATTTATACAAAGGTAAGTACAAAATGGCTATCAACCGTTACTACTACAACCCTTCCTAACACCTACTCAAGACTGAACCGTGCATGCCATAACAATCTTCAAGCGAAGCTTCAGCTGTTCCAGGTACTGATTGTGTAGCTCAAATTTAATCCCACAAGAATTATTATAATAGAATAAATTTAATGAGACAACTTTGTAAAGTAATTTCCTTTCTCTCAATACAGTAGTTCACCAAAAATCAGTGACTTTTCAAAAAAGGAATGACTTCCTTTTATAGCAAAAATTATCCCATCACTTGATCCACATAATTAGCATCCCATAATCTTCAATGAACCAAAGCCACACATTTGATTTTAAAGCCTCACATTATACGCATTGCATTGCTTACTTCCCATTCTCAATCAACCAATAAATTGTAGCCATTCAAATTAATATTAGTTGATAGGAAGTGGTCCAAAAAGGATTTTAGTCTAGCTTAAATATAATTAAAATAAAATAAATAAATTATCCAACCAAGGTTTAATGTGTACTAAATTTGTACACTTACAATCTCCCCATTGGCAATTTATTTGGTAAAACTATAGTATCTTATACTTTGGGCAAAATAAGATAAACAATTTAATTTTATTGAAGGCCCTTAGTATGTGTACTAAATAATACCTTAAAAACAATTTAAACTAAAAACCTTTTGGACCATATTTCATCCGTGTAAATCAATGAACCTATACTGTCGAATATCCATGAGATGTCACGATTCAGACTAATAGAATTATTCCCAGAAACCACACAATACACGGATATAAGCTAAATAAAAGCTTCATTGTGAATAGACATAAACCATGAATCGCATAATCAGGGAGTGATAATAGTCAGAGATTTACCACACAATATTCCAGAAGAGTAGTAGTACCAAAAGATATACCATATGCAGCAATCAGAGTCAAGACAATATATCAACCATAACTACTACTCCACCCCCCTTACTGTTTTCCCCCTTATTCTAACTTACCAAAACAATATTCCAACAATTTTACCAAAACTCCCCCTTAATCCATACTCCCCCTTTGTACTTAATTCATACCCCTGTGTACTCCCCCCTTTTGCCAATAAATTGACAAAGGTGAACATCTATATTCTTGGATTGAGTCTGACGGAGTGCCCTATGGGACTGAACCTGCATAAGAAGATTAGAAACAAAATGAGAAAAGCAGAACGTGATAACAATTTTAACAAATAACATATAAGCACAAGTCAAGTTGGAGCAGATTAAGTAGATAAAACATACCAAGTAATAAACGCATTCAAGCACAATCGTAGAAAATAACACAAAAAACACACAATTGGGTCACGCAAAAGACAAATTGGTAAATAACATAGTAAGCACATTCAGGTAAAACATATTCAGCCAGAGATTCAAATAGAGCAAAATCAGACACGGATTCATATAAATCAACTTCAGGCAAGAATTCATAACAATTAGCACAATAAGTACACAAGTAAACACAGATACAGTCATGATCGGACCAACAAAAACACATTCACATAGTAACACAGGAGAATACAAATATTAAACAAATTGCATCAAACTTTCATTCAAGTAACCATAGAAAATTCAAAGATGCAACACAAGAAACACCAATAAAATAACCTAAGCAAAAATAGGTTTATCAGTTCAAAAGCACTCAAAATAACGCAAGTATAACATTTAGTAAACGCATATAAAACAGTCAAGAACAAAACACAAAGAATCAATTCGCAATTTAGAGTAGTAGGCAACGAAAAGGACTAATTGCTAGAAAATTAAAAAAAAATGGGAATAGAGGGCAAATCAATCATAGAGAGACACACTCCAAAAAAAAAAAAAAAAAGAGACATATATGCAATGTGAGAGCATGTAGGAACAGAACCATTAATTCAAAAGATAAATTCCCTGATCCTGAAACAGATTCTATCACAGATGCAGAATATTACACTAGCAAAGATGAAGAATTGTCAAGATTTGATGAATGTAAGGATATTGAAGTAGAGGGCACCAAATTAGGTAAAGGAACACATAAAATCTCAGCTTTAGACATAGGAATATTTGCAGGTATTTCATAGGACACATTAGACAATGACACCCTAAATATTCATGAAATCAACAAAAGGAATTAGAGAGTAATGAACCTATAGACCTTATCACCAAAGATGATGGCAAAATTAATTTTGAAGATGGATGATCTATTGTGGCCGAGACAAAAGTAGCAAAGCTATTTTACACGTTTGTGATCTCATGAACGGCGGTAGTACGATTTGGCAAAAACGGTGACTGCAGC